TGGATGGATTGATGGATGGATGGATGGATGGATGGATGGATGGATGGATGGATGGATGGATGGATGGATGGATGGATGGATGGATGGATGGATGGATGGATGGATGGATGGATGGATTGATTAAGCGTTTTGCGATTTTCGATTTTATGATACAAAATGAATCATGGTAGGTACCCAATAACAAGATATTATAGATCGTTGCAATCGCTTTTTCGCGCTGGCTGACTTGCAATGCTGTTTGTTGCTAGGAAGATCTCCTAGGCTGATACCCAGCCGCGCCTAATAAGTATTTTTGGCGACCAATCCGCGTCTTCCACAGTTTTTAGTAGCAAGGTAAAAGAAATGTATATCTGTTGACGCGACTGAGAAGAGAAGAAAATAAAATATCTTGTGCCCATTATTCATTTGTAACAAGACTCATCCATCCCCATCAAGTACTGTATCTTCTCGCGTTATTGGCACGATGGGTACATCCAGTACGATTGAATCAGAATAGTATGTGCCGCCGCGACTGGACGGTGTGCCGATAGATTGTATCGTGTGTGTTTTATTATATATTATGGTGGCGCCTCGTGTAATATTGAGTATATTTACATGCTACAGCTACTGATGAAATAGCATTGTCGTATTGTTGCAGCTCCAAAAGTCGTTATTTCCAATCCAATGAGGATACATCATGCCATTTCCAATCCTAACAAGATGCCTCGAATGAAATTGTTGGCTTTCCATCATTCTGAATACTAAATATATTTTCTACACGAAGTACTACTAGTGTAGTAGCTTGCTCCTTCTTGTTATTGTATTAAATCCCCCCCCTTGTTTGGGTTGTCAAACCGTAGTTTGTTGATTTGAATACCCCATCACTGCTTGCTTCGAACAAATAATCTAGTCGGAAAAGCAAGAGTACGAGTACTGCGAAACATTTTATTATACCCGTGCAATCTTATTGTCATCGTTGTTGTTTTAACAGAACATCCGCCAGTCACGGAAAGACGAGTCACGTGAAAAAACCAACTTTCGACCTTAGCCCATTTTTAATATATGACCATTTTCATCATAACAACCAATCAGACGTCTTCCTATGACCCTTTGGGCCCACTGTATAGGGTCAATTGCT